AGGTAGGTTATGTGATGGCAACAAATTTTGCATATCGAGTTTTCGGTGTGAACGTACTTCTCCATAGTAGGGAAGTGTAAATAAACTATTTTTAGCAACCTGTCGGTCTGTCGGTCTGTCGGTCTGTCGGTCTGTGTGTGCACGCGTATATCTCAAGTTCGGCTGAACCGATTTTGATGAAATTTTATATGTAAGTTTGTTTCCACCATGGCACGGATCGATCAACTTTTGGTATATATCAGGCCTCGGGAACTGCACTTTTTAGCGGGCCGATTTTACATTTTTCACCATTTTGAAGAAAGTATTCAACCGATTTACTTGAAATTTCATATATAAGCTTTGCTCGATCATACGCAAATCATCCTAACTTTTGGAAGAAATCAGGCATCAGCAACTGGGCGTTTACTACGGGCCAAATATACATTTTTGTGTATATAAAGAGAAGTAATCAACCGATTTCATTGAAATTTAATATATGAATTCCCCGTATTAAAACAATGAACATGTAAATTTTTTGGAAAGATCAGGCATCGGCAACTAGACGTTTACTACGGGCCAAACATACACTTTTGCGCATATAAGGAGAAATAATTAACCGATTTCATTGAAATTTAATATATGAATTCCTCATATTAAAGCAATGAACATATAACTTTTTTGGAAAGATCAGGGCTCGTAAACTGATTTGCGGGCCGATTTTACATTTTTTACCATATCCACAGAACAAATTGATGGAATTTCTTAAAATTTGATATTTGAGTTCTGGTTGTTACCGAAACTAACTGGCGAGCAAATTTACATTTTTCTTAGTATATTAACTATAAGCTTACTAATGTCCTAAAAATTGGAAAGAAGTATTTAACAGACATTTTTATAATATTCTGTAAAACTTTCATTTAACTAGGCAATACACAATGCGGTCGGTTATGTGCTGACCACATCAGATTTTTTTATATTGGTGTGGGAAATATTCTTTATAATTTTTCTGTAAAGTGGAAGTCCTTTTTTGGTAAAGAGGAAAATATTCTTATGGCTATTGTGTATGAAAAATCAACCCAAAAAATTAAAAAAAAATTTCTTTTTAATGACGTAAAAGAGTTTTGTAATATTAAAGATGGACGATTCAGTTGTATTGTAAAACAATATTGAGTGTATAGTTAAACAATATGGAACATTGTATTAGTTTGTAGGCTATATAACTATACATGATGTAATCTTATGTCTGTAGTCGTAACCGCTATACCATAGTGTGAATTTCAAGCTTTTTTTAATGTTTTGAATCCTGCCATTTCTCTTGCTATTCATTATACAAAGACTGTCGCTTAAATTTATTTTCTTTACTCAAATTCTGTTGTAATTTCTTAACCAAAAGTTCAAGGACAGCACTTGAATTTGCTTATTTGTTTTACGGTAGTGTGCATAACACTAATAGCTAAATTCGATTCTTATCATGTAAGAATTGTTCGCTGGCTTTCGCTACAATTTTTATGAATGACTTAAATCACATTACTTCGCTCATATTACTCGAATTTTGTAATTCAATTTATTGAATTTTATTGGATTGTCCGATTATTTAGTTTTGGATCTTGGAAATTCATAAATAACCCGATTATAATAATGAGATTGTTACTATATTGTTATTGAAATTAAAATAGACTAAATAAATATAAATATTTTGACAATTCCCTATTACAATATTTTACCGAATTTGAAAAATCTGATATGAGTCAGAGAATCGAAAAAATAAAGTATGCTTATGCTTTGTTTTTTTCTTTTCCTCTTAACAGATGGTGAACATTTCAAAAGGTATTTTCTATAAATGGTAACCATTAAAATATTTTTACAAAAACTATTCTCATTAAATATTAACAATAAACCAATAATATTAGTAGAATTATTATAAGGGTATACTGGTGCACACTACACATATGAAACATAAGAATAACAAAGTATGTACCACAATGCAAAATGTACACGAAGTGGAAATATCGTTCGGGAAGTGATTATAAAGTGACCTTTTGCATTTATTACAATACAAAAATTTATTTAATATTTCGTGAATTACCGAAAATATGGTTAGATTGTTGTGTCGCTAGTCTTATCAAAGAATATTATGATTGCTTCAGTGTAATGGAAGATACGTATAGGTTTTTAAAAACAGTTCGAAACTTCAAACCTCCGTTATATCGTTTTATAATGCTCATTATTAAAAATACTATCACAAAATTTTCTGGCCACCTTAGATGCTGTTATTTCTCAAAGAATGGCTCTTTTATAGAAGTTATCTAAGTTGACAGAATAAGTCGTTATTTCTTCGATTTTTCAAATGGCAATTGAATCGTATTTATGCCGAATGATGAGTTCTATGCCGAACTATTAAAGGCACGAAATATTAAAAGTTTTAATAACTATTACATTTAAAACTGAATCTGGTAGCTTTAAATTATTTTGTTACTTTTATGATTTTTCCATAATTTTAAATTAATTTCATTGACAAGAGTTTAGCTGCCCTTACAACATTTACATTTCGAATTTAATATTAAATTTTTCAAAAATTTTACCATAAGTCTATTTAAAAGAAGCTTTTTTTGTGTAGTCTGGCAATTCCAATAATCCAGAATATAAAAATATTCTGTTTCTTTTCTCTTATAACCTCATTCTTACAGGCTATGAAGCAATACTTAAATTTATTTATGTAGCTATTCTATGATATTCTCTCGTTAAACTTCTTTCGTTAAAAAATATATTAAAATTAATAAGTTAATATAGAATTTTCAGGTTAGAGAGTGCATTTTAAGCCATAAAAGAGTCATTTTAAATATTATGTAACATAATAAAGGTGAAAATGTTATAATTATTATAATTATGTATTACATTTTGTGTAGAAACCTCAATATTTAATGACCAATCAATATTTAAAATATTAAATCAATCCAGCCAGTGTTGGTATTGAAAATCTCGCTATATAATAAGAAAAATTAATATTAAAAATCATCAATTTTAAATATTTTCTATCACTAATGTTAAATAATAACATGTGGGCTTGTAAAACATTTTACATCAATTAAAAATATTAATAAAGAAATTATATTTTTATAAAATTTAAATTATAATTTATAGTTATGAATGAAAATTAAAATTCAAGATTAAAATATTAACATGAATTTCAAATTATTGATTTTTATGTTAGAATCATTCGTTTACATTACATAAATTCACGACTAAATTAGAATCTAGTAAATTATTAATGATTTCATGTCAAGTTTACTGTATAATGTAGACCGGTTGTCAATGGTTGATTACAGAATTTGATTTAATTTTAATTTTTGAGCTATTCATGCATAAATTATATGTAAGAGTTATAAAAGAGTCTATCGCTTATAATCATTTAATTTTAATGCAAATAAAGAGCAGATGATTTTGAGCACATTTATTACTTGTTCTAATTTTCATAGGTTATTTTGTGCTTCAGTTTATTGTAATGCTCCATATAAATACTTTGAATAATGAAATTTATTTAAGAATTCCTTGAAATAATGGGAAACGTTTTATTTCAATATTAAATAAATATAGAGAAAATTATTGGCTCCAAGGTCGTAAGTCCAATTTGGCAATTGATAATAAGATATTAATTTATAGCCAAATTATTAAACCAATATGGCTATATGGCATTATACTGTGGAGTTGTGCCAAGAAGACTCACATTAACAAAATTCAAACCTTCCAGAATAAGGCTCTACGGGGCATGGTAAATGCGCCATAGTATATACGTAACAGTGATATCAATAGGAGTTGTGCTACAAAGCATAGGGCCCGTCTAGAGCAGCATGTAAATATGCATTGAATATGCCCATATAGAACGGCATGCAAATATGCTAGACAATGGCGTTATGACAGAAAGACTTAAACGAACAAGACCATTAGATTTAACACAAAATACCAATTTCCTTGTGGAAGGTATTAATTTCCTGCAGGGAAAACCAAGTTAGCGCGGAGGTAATAGCTGGCCTGTAGGACCAGTTTTACTCGTTCAGAGTTTAGGTGATTTTTTATGGTAGGAGTCACGCTCCCGCACTGTCGGAAGAAAAAGGCAGATAGAGCCGTCCTTCTTCGTTTTTCGAGATTTTTTTCACCTAGTAGAAAAAAAAAAAAATTTCATTATTTATACTTAAATAGCGTATGCAACCTACGGCATTCGGTCTTCGAAAATTTTTCAAAACATAACTGATTTTAGTATGCTAGCATAGCCCTTGGTAAGATAATTTTAATTATAAATATAATTATTTTAATAATTTTTAATTTTTCAAAAGAAAATTTAAGTCGGAGAGCTTTCAAAAAAAATTACAAAAATAAACATGCAATTCTGTGGAAATTTGCCAAAACCCGATAACCTATTTTTTGGCCAATTTGAGTTAGCGATAATAATAAAATGCTAAAGAGTCAATCATTGCTTTACCAGCATTCCATGAGCAAATTAACAAATAAAAATTTTATAAGTTCTTGAAGCCATAACCAGATAAACCTAATTAACTAATCAATTTTACGAAGTTGCAGAACTCGATATTTACCTTATCGGGATTGTACAAATTTCCTTATATTGGGTTTTAACTAATTTCCACAGAATAATAAACGGTGTAATAAACAGCGCTGCAAAACCGGTTTTTTTCTTTAAACATTTCTCATGAAAGACTAATGATGAAAATTTTGTTCAACTGGCAATTACAATTTTCAAAATATCTGACAACTACAAATAATATTTTTGATATTTTAATTCGTCATTGCGGGCCCCATTTATCGGACAACAATTTTGTACAAATTGTGAGAAAAATAATTTGAAAATTGTAAAAGTGATTTTTTGATTTTTTTTATATTTAAGGTTTTAGAAAATATTTTTCATTCATAATATTTTTCATATTAAAAATAAAATTAAATAATTTTAAAATATTATAATTTTAGTAATAATAAAAAATTTTTTTTTCGTTCTTTTCTTCTAATTTTAGGTGATATCCTATCTGGTGTTTGTTTTGTTGGACAATTGGATACCCATTCATTAGGTGTATTTTTAATACTACCATTATGTATTTATTTATCAATTGGTGCATTGTTCCTATTGGCTGGTTTTGTATCATTATTTCGTATACGTACTGTTATGAAAACAGATGGTAAACGTACTGATAAATTAGAACGTTTAATGTTAAGAATTGGTTTCTTTAGTGGTCTTTTTATATTACCAGCATTAGGTTATTTAGGATGTTTATTTTATGAATATTATAATTTTGATGAATGGATGATACAATGGAATCGTGATATGTGTAAAGTATTTTCAATACCATGTCCACTGCCAAGTAAAAATGGTGATACACCAAGACCAATATTTCAAATATATATGGCTAAATATTTATGTTCAATGTTAGTTGGTGTTACATCAAGTGTATGGTTATATTCTGGTAAAACAGTAATAAGTTGGAGAAATTTTATTGAAAGACTGCAAGGTAAAGAGCCAAGAACAAGAGGGCAAGCATATGTTTAGCCTCAAATTTCTTTTAGTATTATAGTTTGAAATTATAGTTTTTTTTTTTTTTTTTGAATTTCTATAATTATTAATTATGATAAGAAAATTATATAAATGAAAAAAATTTTAAGAAATATTGAAAGAGATGAAAAAAAATTATATGGACTTTTTTAGAATATTTTTTTAATTCTGTTAAAAGAAAAAAAAAGAATTTTGTAAATTTTTTTCTAAAATTAGAAAAAAATAATTTGTTCTTTTCAAATAATATGCTTCATATTTTTATTATAAAGAATTTTTATTTTTTTTGTATTAAATATAAAAGTAGATAAGCTGTAGGGAAGTTGTAATAATTTTCAATTTTTCCGTCGGACATGGGAATTCTCGGGATTCTCACAGCTTCCCCATAGTTTATTCTGCTTATATACAAAAAGCCATATTTGAAAATACTTTTTTTTTTTAACTTCTAATAATTATGAAAATTATTGATTTTTTTCGGAATTTCTTATATATTAATTTTTCTTAATAAAACTCTTTAATTCATAATCATTATTATTATTATCAATTAAAACTATTAAAAAATTATTGTATTGTTAGAATTGTAATTATAATTAAATTTTTACCAAAACCTAATTAATTAAATAAGAAAATTATTTTTTAAAACATATTATATAATATTGTAAACATTATTTCATTAAAAATATAATTTTTAAGTTTATAATTTTTTTTTAATAATAAATTAAATAATAATAATAAAATATTGTTGTTAATAAGATTTAAATTTTAAGTTGAATTTGAAAACTTTGAATAAACAAGTTTTAAAATATTTTTTATGTTACAATAATTTATATTGTATAAAAATATAATAATTATTATTAAAAAAGAAATAAAACAAAAATCTTCTGATTCTTTTGTACTATATATTAATTATTATCATGTAATTAAGTTTATTATTATAATTTTAAATCATTATTATTGAAAAATAATTTTAAATTTCGGATGTAAAACAAAAATAATTTCGAATGTAATAAAATATAAAACGAGAAATTCACAATATAAATTGTATAAAAAAAATAAATTTTGTGAATAACATTTATTATTTTTCTAATGTAAACAAAGTTATTATCATAATTACTACATAAATATTACATATTATCATTATTATTAATTAAATTTTTATATATGAATTATTTTATAGTATTTAAACATTTTTGTCTATATTTTTTTTTTTTAGAAATTATCTTTCGTCAATACGAACGATATTCAATATTTCCAATTTAAAATTATATTTAAAAAATGAAAAACAGTCTAACTTTTGAAAAATTATAGTTTTTATTATACAATTTATACAATACAACCGTATTGTGATAGATCGAAATTTATCAAATTATCTAAATTCATTTAATTACTACCAAAGTGATTATTTAAACAATATTGTTTACTATCATAATATTCTTACTGTCCTTGACTTTCAAAATGCAGAATTAAAAAATCATAATTCACAATAAGCTGAATTGTTTATTGTGTTACTTAATTTTGGAAGTCATGGTATTTCGTTACTGATATTGAATTTAATATTGAATTTAAAATTTAATTGGAAAAATATTATTTCTTTATACATAATAATTATTTGGTTAATTATTAAAGTTGTTTAGAAAAAATAATAAATTTTAGTTCGAGGAATACTAAAATTAATTTTAAATTAATTTTCTTCTTAAAATCTATTTTAAAATTTAAGAAATTCAGAAATTGTTCTTTTAAAAATTTATTTTGCAATTAAATTAGTTAGTCATTTGGTTTCTTAAATTTCAAAAGTTTCTATTGTGCAAAAATTAAATATTTTCGAAAGTATTTTAGTGATTTTCGATAATTCAGATATATGCACTGAAAATTCGAAATTAAATCTTAACTGAACATTTTGCTTCTACAAATTTTTAACATACTCGAGTAATTCTTCAATGTCAAACATTTTCCTATTATGTTCTTCTCTTAATTCATAATATTTTTGCAGTTGTTATAAAAAAAAAATTAAAAATTCCTTTTAAGCGCAATAGTCTATCATTTTCGAACAAGCTATTTTTGCAGATTTTGCATTTTCATTTGTAACTGAATTATCGAGAATTCCCTTATTTCAATAAAAGCTATAATTGCCGCTAAAATTTAATTTATCATTAACAAGTTTTTCTCACAACAAAGGAGATACAAAATTATGTACTATTTAATTTTTCGGAATAAAACTTAGATTCACAATATTGGTTTAAATTAACAGTCTAATTGTGTATTTCGCTTTTTCGTCTCACTAATCGATATTTCATTTTTCCAATAAAATTACTAATTTTTTTAATCGGATTTTTGTATTTTTTCTCAAATTATCGACTGAACGTCTCTCCTTGAAAAACAGTGTGTGAATAAATTTTTTATGTCATTTTAGAAAATAACCAGTTACGCAACACGAAATAATTCTTCTCATTCGAAAACCACATTATACAATTATACGATAGTTACTCACTTACGAGTACATCTTCTCACTTGGAGATTAAAATAGCGAGATATACGATATCAGACTCTAAAAAACAGTCGTCGGTATCAATAAAAATTGCAAAAATTTCGCTTATTGTTTACTACTTCTAACTGTATTATTTATAATATCCTGATCTTTTAAATTAAATTATAAATTTTAAAAAATATTTTAAAAATCTTTAAATTGGAAAACGAAAATTGAAATTAATGAATTTATTTTCAATTTCGAAATTAACAATTTCTAAAAAATAGGTATTCAAATTATCATTATTTTATTATTCATAATTTGTAAAATTCATGTAAATGAAAAATATTTCCCATTTATTTTCACATTATTAATTTCCAAAAATTTTATCACAATATCAATTTGAATTTTAATAATTAGACATTGCAATTTAAATTTAAATTTTAAAAATTTTAAAATTTTTTAATTTTATTTGATTATTGCTTTTACTTTTTGTATAAAAATGTTGGAAAAAAATTTTTTAAATGAATAGAATCTAAAAAATTAACTATATTATAAAAGTTGTCGAATTTTAAAATGAAAAATATAAAAAATTTGTAAAATATAGCTAAAAAAAAAATGAATATTGAAAATAAAAGAAAATGTAAAATAAAAAAATTTTAAGCTGCATCGAAATAGCTGCATCCCGTTACAAAAAAAAAAAAAAATAAATAAAATCTTCAAAATATAATGTACTTGTACCTATATACAAAATGTATACAAAATATTGCATAAATAAATTCACATACATAAATAAATCAATAAAAAACTAAAAAAAAAAAAATAGATAAAATCATGGTGTTATTAGAAAATAAGAAAAGCTTTTAATGTGCCCAATTTGAATAGCAGAAAAAATGAAAATTAAATAATTAAAACGCAAATACAAATAAGTAAAATCTTTACTAAAATAGAACAAAATCTATATGGCCATATTATGAACTTTGTAAATATTTACTATAAAAATTGTAAAGGATAACTCTGCGCTGCACTGTCCACCTTAATAAATATTTGAATCAAGTTGATATTGAAAAATTCTTTATCAATTTTAGTTAAATGAAATGTAAATCAATTATTCTTCCTTGATTCAAACTACAAAATTGAATTTTAATTATATTTTAATTTAAAAACTCTCTCCATATGTTAAAATATTAAGAAAGATCTCTCTCAACAACTTAATTTTATTAAAAAACTTAATCAGAAAACAATATTATGCTGAATTTGAGTTTTTTCATTCTAAAAAAAAATCTAGATTTTATGGAATTAATTTTAAAAGTACTGTGATTGTTTGAAAATTAATTTGCATTCAAATTAACAAAATCATTGTAAAACATTTTTAACTCTTAATTAATTACAAACCCTTTTCGTTCTCACAGTTTTTCATTATTACTAGAAATCTATCAGAAAAATCCAGTAGACTATTAGATTTTCATAATACAATCCAGTAGCAGATTTTCTTAATAAAATAATTCTAGTGAGCTATTCTTAAAATCAGAAATATGTAAAAACTCAATAGACACTTTGTATTTTCAAAAATTTCAAAGCTTAAAAGGATTATCATACGGAGTGGTTTTAAAATTAAAATACATGCTTGTAAAAGTTTGTAGAAAATTGAAATTTTATAAGAAAAATAACCAAATTTATGATTTACACTGGTAAATTCGATATCCTGGAAAATTACAAATTTTCAATAAAGTTATTTTAGAGGAAATATGGTCAGGATTATTATTTGATTGGTTGAATAGAATGATCATTGAGCCCCGAATGGTGCGCCATTTAATTATTATAATTGACTAATTTTGTTAGTACAATCTTCTGGAAATTTAATCCTCTTGTTTTATATTATTGATTTGTTTAATGTGGTTATAGAATCTAGTTATATGAATTCCATTAGATAACAATAATTCTAATATATTATAATAGATAATAATTAATACTAATCCTCATATTATATTGGAAATAACCATGTTAAATTCAAAATTAAATTTATTAGCATTGTAATTCCTAAAGTTTTCTGAAAACTTATTTTTTAATTCTAGTAATTCTGTATTACAATTTAATTAAGCTCACTACACTTTATAATATAAGTGCTACCTAGTTGTTGAATTACTTATGACTACTCCATGTCATTGCATGTTTATTTCAATTAGGTTGATAATAAAATAGCCGCAGTTCAAAAACTTTTTCACAAAATCATTGAATTTTAATAAATAAATATTTCAAATAAAATTCAATTATAAAAATTTTACAGTCTTTAGCATTTTACATAAATTAGAAACGATTTTTCCCATTAGTTTACTATACCCATTTTCTGTACAATGAGGTTTATATTGAAATTTCTAACTAAAACTGATGCAGAGGTGATTTTCCTTTAAACAGTGATTTCCCTACAACAGGAGTTTTAGGGAACAAAATCATTTTCCTTGTTTTCATTGCAAATTTTAAAAATTAAATTTTCTTTTTTTAAAATTAATGCCATTATAGAAAAATCACTTTATTT